GTAGAAGAACTTATGTTTCTCACATTGATGATCAATGGCAAGCAGTTTCAGTGGATATGCAAAAATTTAAAAGATATAATAATAATACTAATTATATATTATCTGTTATTGATATATATATAATAAATACGCTTGGGCTATTCCAATTAAAAAGAAAACGGGTGAAAAAATATCTAAAGCATTTGCTAAAATATTTAAGGAAAGATCACCAGAAAAGCTACAAACATTTAAGGGAGTGAGTTTATTAATAAAGTGACGCAACAGTTGTTCAAAGATAATAATATCCATTGGTTTACTACAGAAAATATAAAAATAAAATGCTCAGTAGTCGAAAGATTTAATAGAACTCTAAAGACGAAAATGTGGAATTATTTTACTGCTAACAATACTAAAAAATAGATAGATGTTTTAAATAAATTAATTAAAAATTATAATAACTCTTATCATAGATCAATAAAAATGACTTTTGTAGAAGCGAGTATAGAAGATAACGAATCGAAAGTTTATAATAATCTATTTAAAAATTGTATCTGAATCTCCTAAATATAAAGTAGGTGATACAGTCAGAATATCTATATATAAACAACCATTTAAGAAAAGTTATTTACCCTCTTTCACAGAGAAAATATTTATAATATCTATAGTGTTAAAAACGGATTCAATTACTTATCGAATTAAAGATTTAAATACCGAAGATATTAAAGAAACTTTTTATGAAAATGAGTTAGTGAAATCTGATAAATAGGATAAAGTTTATAAGATAGAAAAAATAATTAAAAAGAAATTAAATACAGTGAAAACTGCTTAGGCGACCACCTGCATTCGACTAGCACCTGTCAAAACAGGCAAAAATTTCTGGCACCGAATAGTTTATCCATAGAGTCTTCATATAAGTTACCCGTATTAAACGACCACCTGTGTAACGCGACCGCGGGCACCGACTTTTGGTCCGAAACAACATACAACACCTGTAATAAGCGACCACTTTCGCAAATGTATCTAGTCTAAACTATTCTTCGAACCCATCTCAACAACGTTTCCACTTACTAATATAATGAATTTAGTCTAAACTCGTTCGAACCCATCCCGGGCACTTCTCCCACCCTTGAAATTAGGGGCAGCTGTTAATAAATTAGTCTAGCGACAAAGGAAATTTATTTCAGTTTGTTAGAAAATCTCTGAAAAACGAAACAAATGCAGTGCTGTCGTTAGAAAATCGTGTTAAAATTATCGGAGAAAGTGAAAATAATTTATCACAATGGCAATTAATGGTGAAGTTTAACTGTGAGAAAACGAAATTTATTTTACCGTAGACCTACAGTATTTTCCTTGGGGGTATAAAATATTGTACACGATACAATTAATCGGCTGATCTCTTTGTTTGATAAAATTTTTTATTTATTTATTATTTATTTATTATTTATTTTTTTATTTTTTATTTTTTGAAGCTTTTATACAGTACATGTGCAATAAATAGTTTTTGTATCAACCTACTTTATTTCTGTGATATTTTTAGAAAAATAATATTCAAGTAATTTTCGCACGCAAAATATTCAAAAATAAATAAACGCATTAATGCAAAAATCAGTTTTACAGGCAACCTTTCTTTTTCGAATGTAATGAAATCGTATTATGAGAAAAAATAAGAAAATCGTTTTATTATTAATTAATAATTTTTCTTACTGTACTTAAGAAAATATTAAATATTAAAAAACACAGTATTTTTAAAGTTAAAATAAGATTAAATTAACGAATACCAAAACTAAAATTATGTAGAGATACTACTTGCTTGTATATCGATGACGTAATACACGTAACTGAGGAGCGAAAACGTAAACAACCGAGTTGAATTAATTAAGCCGGAAAGAAGAAAGTGTGCATTATAATCGAAAAAATGCGACTATTGTATTAATTTTTAAAATATTGGTATTAAATCTGTCTTATAAAATCACGATGACTCTTGTAAATCGAGTTATCCGATAAGAATAAAATACAATACTGTACCAATACAGCTCTATCGTTGAGGAAATTCGCTTATTTTTCCTCATCTCGACTTTTGCTTAGTAGAAATGGCTAAAAAGTGCGCAAAATACGTACGGAAATACGTTATTACAGGAATACCTGTATTGGACGACCACCTGTCTAAAAGACCACTTTTTGAAAGAACCGTGGAAGGTCGCCNGCGGCGTTGCCGCAAAAGATAGAATTCAACCAACTTTTGCGGCACGAGAAAAGCGCCACAAAATCGACTTCTGCGGCGAGAAAAAGTGACGTCATTCTGCCGCTTTTCCTTGCCGCGCCGCATGTGTGCATCCGGCTTTATACTTTTATAAAGCTGTCTATAATGAAAATTAATTAACTAAGGATTTTTTTGCCCGGCCCGGGTGTGGCCGAGTTATCCGGAGTGACGGGATATCGAGAGCCGAGTTTTCGAAGTTCTACTGTATTAACATTTTTTATTATGACATCACTGATGATGTCATTATACTTGTAACGATACACTGCGCATGTCACAAGTGATACGATTATAGTGGTTGAAATTGCGCATGTCACTAGTGATATGGTAAGGAATAGCACAGACACGTTGTATATGAACTGAACGGTATTTATACTAACCACTTTTTTGTCATCAATATTGATGGTGTGGTTTCATTTAGTATCATTTCTCTATTCTCGTAATTTGAATATTTTAATCAAATTTGGTATATTGATTAATTAGAATATGAACAAATAAATTACTTAGTAAAATGTTAAGTAAAAAATAATTAAGTGTTTTTATTAAATAAACACATCATTTCCTTAAAAATTTTTTTATTTTTAAACACGTCATCAGCAACTTCCTCTACATTCTTATCAGCTAAACTTTTTCTTTATGAAGCAAAGGTCAACTTCCTCTACGTTTTTATCAATTTAAATAAACAGTTGTTTTTATGAAGAAAATTTTTTCCTTATTAAATGAAGCAGTGCAAATGTTGTAAAATAAATAAACCATTCGAAGAATATAGTAAAGATAATAATTCTAAAGATGGATATTTTATATGGTGTAAAGGTTGTACTAGTGAATACTATAAAAATTATTATACTAAAACCAAAGACATAAAACAAGAATTAATAGAATGTGAATGTGGTAAAAAAATTTCTAAATTATACTTAGACAAGCATATGAAAAATGATATCTATAGAAGGCGATTAAATAAAATTAAAAAGTGTAGTGATTGTAAGGAGGAAAAATCTTTAGATGAATTTCACAAAAATAAAAGGAATACTGATGGATATGCTTATATTTGTAAAACGTGTTTATTGTTGAAAAAATATTGATTGTTTTTTTTTTCCTCTTAATAAATGGAACAATCACTAACTCTTCGTGAATTGCATCAATTTTGTAAAGATAATAATTTTAGAGGATATTCAAGATTAAGGAAAGCAGACTTAATTGATTTTATATAAAGATATAAATTTAGTAATATATTTAACTTTCATGATGATGTAATAACAATACCAAAACAACCAAGAAAAAAATATATTTAATTTTCATGAAAATATTATAACAAAACCAAGAGAAACACAAAAATTAAGTGAAATATTCAACTTTCATGAAGATATTTTTTCAAAACCTAGAAAAGAAAGAGAAAAGCAAATAAAATGTGACGTCTGTAATTATTACTATAAACCAACCCATGAGGATCTTCATATTAAAGAGAGAGAACATAAGAATGCTTTATACATTAGTGAAGGTATCCAAGAGATTGAGACAGCATTTAAATCAAGATTAAAAACGTATTCGATTAATAATATATTTAATCTTATCTTACAAAGTGATTTTTTAGAAGATGTGAGAAACATAATTATTATAAAGATAAAAAAGATACTGAAAGAAATAGACTTGAAAGTAAATTTTAAATTTTTCTGTGAGTATCAAAGAAAAAATGAGGTCAAGGGCTTTTCATTTAAAACTGAGAATGAGATTATTCTAAAAACAACAGATTTGAATGCTTTTTATGATAAAGTGATTGATAAACTAATAAGAGAAATAGATAAATTTGAAGCAAAAGGATCTGGATGGACTTAAATAGAAATAATTAATTTAGAGCCAAGAATCAATAAATATGTTCCATTTAGAGGATCATCCTACATTCAATTACCAAAACAAATCAAAAATAAGAAAGCTGTATTCAATATTAAGAATGAAAATCAAAAATTTGTTTTGCTTATTGTATCGCTGCATATTTAAATCCAGTAGGTAGAAACAATCATAATCCTGGTCGAGTTAGTAATTATAATATAAAGTTAATTAAAGAAGAACTCAAAGTAATCAAATCACCTCTCTCTTTACAAGATATAGGGAAATGTGAAAAAAGATTAAATAAATCAGTGAATGTTTATAGTTATGAAGAGCACTGTATGATGATCAAAGGAGAAAAAATAAATAGCTATGAAATATATCCTCTAAGAATAACAAAAAATAAACTAGATAAGCATGTAAATTTGTTATAGTTAAAAAATGAAAAAAAATCACATTACTGTTTGATAAAGGATCTATCTAGATTAGTTAGATCACAAATCACAAAACATACAATAGAGATTTATATATGCGAAAGATGCCTAACATACTACAATTCAGTAGAACAATTAACGAATCATGATATCGATTGTAAAGAAAAAAAAAATGGGGAAGATTGAAATGAATGGAGGAAGTATTTGGTTTGAAAACTTTAACAAATCATTGAAAATTCCATTTGTGATATATGGTGACTTTGAATGTCTAACTAAGAAAATGGAAACATTTTAACCAGATTCATCTAAGTCTTATACAATGAAATATCAACATCATAAATCAATGAGATTTTCTTATTACATAAAGTATGTACAGTACATGGGGAATATAAGGAACCAATTGTATACAGAGGGCCTGATGCAGTAAAAAAGTTTTTAGAGATGTTAAAAAATGAAGTTGAAGAAACTGGAGAGATATACTGTATAAAGATATTAAACCAATAAATATGACTGCAGAAGATGAAGAACATTTTCAAAATACTAATATCTGTCATATTTGTGATGGGGAGATATATGATGATGATGATGATGATAAAGTTAGAGACCATGATCATTTGACTGGGAAGTACAGACGACCTGCTCATAATCAATGTAATTTACATTATAAAAACCCTAACTTTATACTAGTGTTCATTCATAATCTAACTGGATATGATGCTCATTTATTTGTTAAAGAACTTGGATATGATGAACAGAAAATTGATTTGATACCAAACAATGAGGAGAGATATATTTCATTTAGTAAGAAAATTGGAAAAATCAAACTTAGGTTTATAGATTCATTTAAATTTATGGCAAGTAGTATTGATAAACTCTCTAGTAATTTGAAAAAAAAACAGTTCAGAGAAACATCTAAGTTTTTTCGTAATCACCTATTAGATTTAGTTATAAGAAAAGGTGTTTATCCATATGACTATATGGATTCGTGGGAAAAATGTGAAATGGATAAACTTCCTCCAAAACAAGAGTTCTATAGTACATTAAATGAATGGGATATAACGGATAAAGATTATAAACATGCCAAACATGTTTGGGAGTCATTTAAGATTAGAAATATGGGTGAATTTTCTGATCTATATGTGAAAACAGATGTTTTAATACTAGCAGACATCTTTGAGAATTTTAGAAATGTATGCATGAAAACTTATAAATTAGATCCAGCATGGTATTTCCCAGCACCTGGATTATCATGGGATGCTATGTTGAAAAAAACAGAAGTTAAATTAGATCTAATAGCTGATTATGATATGATTTTGATGTTGGAAAAAAGAATAAGAGGTGGAATATCCCAGTGTTGTAACAGATATGGAAAGGCAAATAACAAGTATATGAAGAATTATCATAAAAACAAGGAATCTAATTATTTAATGTATCTAGATGCTAATAATTTATATCAATGGGCTATGAGTCAATATTTACCTTATGGAGGATTGAATGGTCTTTTTTAATGATCAATGGAATGGAAAAACGAATATTTCTCTTGAAGAGAGTGAAAAAATCCTAATGAAAATTCCTGATGACAATGAAAAAGGATATATATTAGAAGTTGATCTGGAATATCCCAAAGAATTACATGATTATCATTCTGATCTACCTTTAGCTCCAGAGAACAGAATACCAGATGGATCAAAACAATCTAAATTATTAACCACATTATATGATAAAAAGAAGTATGTGCTTCATTATAAAAATCTTAAACAATATTTAAAAATGGGGATGAAACTTAAAAAGATACATAGAGTATTAGAATTCAAGCAATCAGATTGGTTAAAGAAATACATAGACCTGAATACTGAAATGCGAACCAAAGCAACTAGTGATTTTGAAAAGGACTTTTATAAATTAATGAACAACTCTGTGTTTGGAAAGACAATGGAAAATATAAAAAATCGTGTTGACATAAGATTATGTTGTAACTCAAAAAAAGTAGAAAAATTAATCGCTAAGCCGAACTTTAAACATCGAACCATATTTACTGAAAACCTATGTGCTATTCATATGTATAAGAAAAAAATAGTCCTTAATAAACCTATCTATGTGGGAATGAGCATATTAGATCTTTTGAAGCAATTGATGTATGATTTTCATTATAATGTGATGAAACCTAAATACAGAGATAACATAAAACTGTTATATCAGGATATGGACAGTTATATATATGATATAAAAACAAATAATATTTATCAAGATATGAATGGAATGATCGATTACTTTGATACATTCGATTATCCTGAGAATAATCAACATGGTATACCGAAAGTTAATAAGAAGGTGTTAGGTAAAATGAAGGATGAAAATAATGGAAAAATAATGAGAGAATTTGTTGGTTTAAGAGCAAAAATGTATGCCTTAAAAGTAGAAGATCAGGTTACAAAGAAATCAAAAGAAGTAAAGAAATGTGTTGTTAAAAATAGGATATCATTTGATGATTATAAAGACTGTTTGTTTAATAAAACAGAGCATTCCGAACAATAAATCTAGTTAGAAGCAACAAACATGAACTTTATTCAATAGAAGTTAACAAGAAAGTGTTATCACCACATGGTGATAAGAGACATATATTGGAGGATGGAATTAACACATTAGCATTAAAATATAATTTTTTTTTTATATAAATGGATATAAGAATAAAAAGAGCTGTTGATTGGGATGGTTTTTCTAAACGAGAGAATTTAACAGAAGATCTAATAAGAGATTTTAAAGATGAAGTTAACTAAGATTTGATTTCTATATATCAAAAGTTATCTGAACGTTTCATAAGAGAATTTAAAGATAAAGTTAATTGGGATTCAATATCTCATAATCAAAAATTGTCTGAATTTTTTATTAATGAATTTATAGATAGAGTTAACTGGAAAAAAATACCAGAACATCAAATTCTCACTGAAAATTTTATAAGACAACATAAAGATAAGGTTAATTGGAAACCAGGGCTGTGAAGTCGCGTAAAAATCTATCGACTCCAATTCCGACTCCGATTCCGACTTTTCCTTACCAATTTGACTCCGACTCTGACTCTGGATAAAACACCAAAACTCCACGACTTCGACTTCGACTACGACTCCATAGCCCTGCCAGGGCTGTGGAGTTGCGTAAAAATCTACTGACTCCGATTCCGACTCCGACTTCATCTTTTCCTTACCATCCGACTCAGACTCTGACTTCTACTCCAGCTAAAACACCAAAACTTCAGGACTCCGACTCCGACTCCACAGCCCTGTTAGAAACTCATCTCTACTTATCAAATATTATCTTCAGAATTTATTCAAGAATATGAAAATAAAGTGGATTGGGAAGCTATATCTCGATTTCAACATTTAGATAATGACTTTATTAGAAAAAATGCTTTTAAATTTAATTTAAATTCACTTTTAGAACATCAAACCCTCTCNAGATATCAAACCATATCAGAACAATTACGCGAAGACTTAGATCGATTAAATGTATAAAACTGGAAAATAGTTGTTAAACATCAAGAATTATCTGAAGATTTTATTATAAAACATAAAAATAAAATTGATTGATGTGATGTGATTTTAAAAAAAGGTTTCTCCAACGAATTTATTGAAAATAATTATAAAAATATAGTTGTTTCATTGTTGGCAAGAATTTGTAATAAATAATCCTATATAAATGGAGATTGAGTTGGTATTAATTCACAATGGTGGGAAAGTAAGAAATTATTATATTTGGAAGGGTGGAAGGGGGTATTTACATATCATTGATTATGTTGATAGATAGTTAAATCTTTTCCTATATAAATGGAGACATTGAAAAAACTAAACAATATTGGTAAACTTCAAAATACTCCAACAAAGAAATTAAACGAGTTGGAAATTGATTACGAATATCCAATTGATTATATTAAAACAATATTCACTCGCTTTAGTGATAAAAAATTAGTAGTTCTTAAGGACACTGAATGGGGTGAATTTCAAGTTTTTCTACCTGATCGATTTAATAAAAGAAATAAAGGATGAGGATTTAGATGAGATGTGTGATTTTAAATTTGTTTATAAGGGAATGACAGATTGTGGGAATATGTATAAAGCACCTATTATTGAGTTTGTTTGACTTTTTTTATATTTTCTTTCACTAAAAAAATTATTGTGAATGGATGTCGATTCCTCAAAAATTTTAAAAAAATGAATTTATTAAAATTTAATGTTGTTTTTGATTAAATTCACTGATTTTAAAAAACCTTAAATTTTGTGTGTGGGGCAGAACATACATTTATATACTACTGATAAGCCCTGCAAATTGTCATACCCTATTTAAGTTATCTAATTCTGTCTAATTCATAGTCATGGGCAAAAAGCGTTGTTTATTATTACTGTATTATTATTAGACTTTATTACAGTACAGCCCTCTAAGCCTGCTGGATACTTGCAAACCAGATGTTCATAAGTTCTATAGAGATGAATTTATATGTTTTTTTTTTTTTTTGTAAAAGTTGGCAGTTAATGTGACACTCTATTCCCGCTCAAAGAGCACTAAGAGAGTTACAAGAGTGTATATTTGGTTCCAAAAATGACTCACCAGCGCATAGGGAGGCTACCCATTTGGTAGTCTGTGGGACAATAGCGTGTAATATACCGAGAAGGGATAGAGAAGTAGAAGTATCATTAAGCCTCTGAGCATTCCGTGTACAAATAGCGTAAAGCCTGGTAACCACATGCGGCAACGGACGACGGAACTCGTCGACAGAAACAGTTGCCGTTCCGTCGTCTTTCCGTGTCTCGTGTATTCACATGCGGATATTACCCTACAATTGAAACGCGCCATCTGCCAGCCGTAAATATAAACAAGCTACTACAGTAGGCAGGCCACGTGCCAGTAGTCGAAGATGGCGTCTACCTGGATTGCTTTGTTATATCAATTAAACTTTTTAAGTTTGCTTTCGATCTTATCGCAAATAAAAAAACCTGAAAAACGAATAATTTGTATAGGAATAATATTCTAAATCGTCGAAAGTTAGGAATATCGAATACTTTCGTCCCTGAATCACGCTTACTCCATTCCCAATACTTTACGCAGTAAGTGTATTTGACATTAATATTTAAATCGGATAGTAATATAGCGTATAAATGAAATATATTAGCGTATTAGTGTACAAATAAAGCTTTTTAGCTTAACGACCGCCATCGTTCGAACGCTATCGTCCCACGTGATCTTTATGACGACATTGCTAAACAGTCTTCCTATTGGTCTAATTTTTACCTTGACGCTTTCTGTCGCGGCAAAAGTTGAAAATTTTCAACTTCGTATTCCGTCGACGTCGACGGCAAAAGTGACGTCATTTTGCCGTTCCGTCGACCGTTTCCGTCGTCCGTTGCCGCATGTGGGTACCACGCTTAATATACTAAACAAAATAAAAATAGAGGACTAAAGCTGAATTTGTATACAAGAATAATTACTATATTATTATTATTATTTATTTATTTACTTTTACTGTTTTGGTAATTTTACTGTTTTTATTATTTTTATTTTATTTTATTATTATTATTTATTATTTATTTTCTTATTATTATCACTATTATTATATTTTATTTTTTTTAATTTTANAATTTTTGGGTATTTGGACTGCCGAAATAAGGAATATATTCAAAATTATATTTTTACTTCTATTGTTTAATATTATTATTTTTATTTATTTATTTATTTATTTTAATCAAAAAAATATATATGTATATATAAGTAACATAAACAAATATAAAATATAATAAGTTATAAATAGACGAAATCAGTAGCAAGTAGTAGGTAGGTTCAGATCTAGAGAACAGAGTGCACTAAATTATACAAAGTGCAGTAAGGACAGGAGGAAGGGTATTTATCTAGTTTGGTCCATATTTTTTGAAGCTTTCTATTATACAACGTTTGAAGATCATAAGATCGTCTTCGTTCTGTGTGAGTTCGCTTAGTGCCATGGGCAAGGTAATCAATTTGTTTGTGAAGTGCGTAATAAGTTGCTTCCGCCAAGGGTCGAAAAGAGCACAATCATATATTATGTGTTTTACAGTGTCAGGTACATTATCTCCACAGTTACAGTTCGGTTGATTTATAATTTTGAATCTAGTTAGATAATTATTGAATTTGCCATGTTCTGTAAATATTTGTGTTAGCCGAAAATCGTGGGTTATTATTTTGCAGTTGTGTCTACTTTCTAATTTCGGGAAAAACTTGTGTGTGATCTGTCCTTTATTATCTTCATGCCAACGAGTTTGCCATGTCTTGATCGACAAATGCTGAAGATGTAAACGAGCGAATGCCACAGGTATGTCACTGTATTTAATTGTGTAATGTAGATAAGCGGTTGTGGCAAGTAAATCGGCAAGCTCGTTGCCACCACAACCTGAATGCCTTTTTATCCAAGAGATTTGTGTGTTGTGTTTGGTGTAACTTGCTTTAAAGAGTAGGTAAGTATTATAGCATAGTTTACTGCTAACTTTAGGTGTACTCATGATTTTAATTGATACATTAGAGTCTGTACAGATGAGTGTGTCATTATATTTATATTTTAGAATGTATCTTAGTGCATGATTGATGGCTAATATTTCTGCCTGTGTTATTGTGCAATGATTTTCTAGCTTACATGTTGAACATTGGAGTAGTTTATTATCCTTGATGTGACAGAAACCAGCCTCCACACCATTTTTTGATTTGGAGCCGTCAGTATATATAATAAAGCGTTTGTTAGAAGTGTATTTGACTACTGCTTGTGCATGTGTGTATGAGGGGAGAGGGAGGGCGCGGAAATCGGCTGGGGAGTCTATTTCATAATGTTTTGCATTTATGAGTAGTCTGTTTGTTTTTATTGTGTTGTTTAGTTCCATTTTACTTTTTATGAGAATGTCTATAAGAATTTTATTGGATATTACTAATGTTGACTCTCTTGAAATCGTTCTGTATCCTTTAATCATTTTAATGCAGATTTTCCTTTGAAATTTTAATAATTTTTCACGGAGATATTTGCGATTTAGCGCATGACCGCACACCTGGCATGCGTATGTTAGTTGTGGGAGGAGGACATCTTCAGAGATATTGTCTATTGTGTTTGAATTTAAACCCCAACGTAAGGTAGCGACTCTGTGTAGCATTAGCAGCATCTGCTCAGCTTATTGTATTTTTGTATCTGTATGGTTTTTCCAAGTGAGTTTTGAGTCAAGAGTGCAACCCAAGTATTTAATATTTTCGTGATATTTTAAATATTTACATTGTAGTCTTAACATAGGTTTATTGTGCTTACCCGCTTTGTGTATTAGCATTAACTTAGTTCTATCTGTATTAAATGTAATTTTGCACTCTTCCCCCCAGTTTTCAATTTTACGAAGGATTGATTTTGCTTTGTTTTCTAGCGCTTTAATGTTTTCAGCAACGACTGTTACAAGAGAGTCATCAGCAAAGCAAAACAGTTCGCAATATGCTGGTAGTTTGATATCGAATATTGTGTACATTAGGATGTTCCAAAAGCCTGG